TTTATGGGACAGCCTAGCCACATGGTGCTGAGAATCCCCAAATGTAAACTGGCCACCATGGTGTTCGTGCTGTGGGTGGTAGGTTTTCTTGGGAGGCCGCCTCGGGGAGAAGGTGGGGGAGCTGCCTGGGGAGTCAGGGAATCTGGCAGTTGGGCTCAGAGGTCTGATTTTATCAAGATGTGATTCTTCTCTCCATGCCTCAGTTTCTTTGTCTGTGAAGAATGGACTCTGACTCCTGTTCTGCCCTCCTCCTGGGGCATGGTACTAAGGAGTGCCTGGCCACCTACTAGCCCAGTGACTCACCTCTTTGAATCTTAGTTTCCTTTAAGATGTAAAACGGGGAAAGTTAGAATAGTTACCTTCTCAGCATTGCTGGGAAGACTGAGTGAGATAATAATGCACATTGAGTTTAGCTCAGTGCCAGGCATATAATAAGGATAAAGGTTATTGGTGATTAAAAAGATAAAGCAGCAGGCAGCCTTTTCAGGTTGTGAAGAAAACTCCTTCCTTTTACTCTCACTTGCTGAAAAGCTCTCAGGTGTTTGAAGTGGGGTTTGGAATCTGGCATCATCAACTCACTGACTGGTACTGATGCCTGGGACAAGTTAGTTTTTCTTTAGACACTCTGAAGCCTCTATTTTCTCATCTGCAAGATGGGTAGCTAATAACGATAGTCTCACAATGTGGTACAGAGTCAGAGAGCTAGCATATAGAAATTGTCTGGCATGGGAAAGTCCTTTGGAGTCACTAGTGTGTGTACAATGGTATTCACCGCTTGAACCTGCATGAACAAGTGTCCCCAAGTCCTTTCCAGGTTAGACCTAGGAATACCTAGAAATCTCCACCCTTTTCTTCTCAGCTTTATATCCGTGATTAGTGAGGAAGCTTGTAACAGAGGAGGCTTTGAACGGGCAGTTCACAAAGAGGCAAGAGGAAGGAAGAAAACACCATGTATCTCCTCTGCATTGGGCACTCTGAGAGCTGGACTGGATATGACATGACTTCATTGACTCCTCACCAGAGCTCTGTGAGGTCTTGATAAAGACTCTTGTCTTACTGATGGGGAGACTGAAGTACATATGGTGCTATGGACTTGCTGAGAGTTACAGAGTTTCTATGTAAAGTCTGCAACCTACTACATACAAGCATGTAGTGGAGACAAGGAGGCTCTGGGTCAACCTCCTGAGACCAGTCCTTCTAGACTTTGTCATATTCTGATTGAGTTTCCTTCAGTGTTACTTGGGAAGTGCTGAAACTGCCCAGACTGGCCTGGGGAGGGAAGAAAAAGGTGGTACCACCCCAGCATAGCCAGAGTGCCGAGACCAGCCTGAGAAGCTAACTGGCTAACTGGTGACAAGGCCTTGCCAGCCAGCACTTTTGGAGAAGTTGATGGAACTGTGGAGGGCAGAAAGGGGAACACTGAAGACAGGGTTTCTGAAGAAAGTCTACGTTTCAAGCTCCTTTCTGGCCAGGTCTTTGCCTTCTACCTTTCTCAGTCTGAGAAAGATTTTCAGCCAGATGGGAGGTTGGAAGCTGTGAAGATCAACTCTTATTATAAGTAGGGAAGCTGAAGCTCAGAGAAGGGAAGTAATTTGTCTAAAGTCACCCAGCAACTGACTGCAAGAGTGGAGGCTCCCTGACTTGTATTCTGCCTGCATATTCGTGCATTCATTTGTTCACTCATTCATGGGTCATTGAATGCCTATTTTGTGGTATATAAAGACTCAGTTCAACAACAGTCATGGTCCCTGCCCAGAGTGAGCTGACATCAAAGTGAAGAAGGGATTTGGTGTAAGAAGGGTGTAAAAATAAGATGTTGTGATATAGTATGAAGACAATGGTGCTATTTGGTTGGTGCAGAAGTAATTGCTGTTTTTGCTATTTCAATGGCAAAAATCTGTTATTTTTGCACCAATCTAATATCTTTGGTCACACTACTGAGGGAGGTAGTGATGCTTGAGAAAAGACCTGGACAATGAAAAAGAGCTGGCCTGGGAAGATCAGTCAGAGTGGAGGAACATTAGTGGCTAAAGACACAAAAGCAGGAAAACAGAGTAGATGAGGAACCGATAAATAAGCTACTGAGAGTGAGGGGAAGAAGGCAGCAGAACTATGTAAGATCTGAGAATTATGTAGAAATCAGAACACACAAGGCCTTGAACTTGTGGTAAGGAGTTTAGATTTTATTCCAAGACATGGGAGGTTTTGAATATTTGCCTTGCATTAGGTGCAGCAGAAAGCACAAACAATAAAGCAGACACTAAACCGTCCCTAATGGGTGTTTGAGCTCAATGGGAAAGTGTTACAGAGAGAATTTTAGAGAAGACATTAGAGGTAACCAGATCATGCTAATGGTAGGAGATGGGGCTGGATAAAGTGTGGGGGGAGTTAAGGACAAGGAGATTGTTCACGTGTGGAAGGTGGGAGAGAGGAGATGGGACAATAGGCAGGAACAATGGTGAAATATGAGTGAGTAAGAAATTTGACTCAGCATATAGGTGTTCAGAACTGAGCATCTCAAAGGTGTTAGGCCAGGCACTGGGGCTTTTACACATTTCTTCTTGATAATCACAAAAAATGCCATATGAAATTGGTATTTTAAAAAATCCTCCTTTCGTAGATGTAGAAACTAAGGTCATGACAGTGGAGGGGTTTTCCCAAAATCATTCAGCGAGTATGAAGCAAACGAGGACCCCAACCCAGGCCTTTGGGTTTCATAATAGAACTGTCCACATTCTACCACAGTGGTTGGATTTTGACTTGGCTTTGCCCTCAGTTTCCCTGCTTGGAATGGGAGGTTTTCTTTCTACGTCACTTCCAGTTCTAACATTCTGTGCTTCTACTAAAGATAAAATGAATAGGGACAAATATTCTAGATTCTAGTTGAATATCCTAGATGTAGTCCACAAAGTCACAGAGGCAGAAAGTAAATGTCCTAAACAGAGAACAGCAAGTAGCTATAAGCAAGAAGAGAGGTACTGCTTGGAAAAAGGGACTATGAAGAGAGGTACTGCTTGGAAAAAGGGACTATGAAGAGAGGTACTGCTTGGAAAAAGGGACTATGAAGAGAGGTACTGCTTGGAAAAAGGGACTGTGAAGAGAGGTACTGCTTGGAAAAAGGGACTGTGAAGAGAGGTACTGCTTGGAAAAAGGGACTATGAAGAGAGGTACTGCTTGGAAAAAGGGACTGTGAAGAGAGGTACTGCTTGGAAAAAGGGACTATGAAAAGAGGTACTGCTTGGAAAAAGGGACTGTGAAGAGAGGTACTGCTGGAAAAGGTACTTGATGACCTTTTGAAAAGAGGTCATCAAATTGAAAAGAGAAACAAAGACTCGTGGTACCCGTAAGTACCGTAAGTACAGAGAGAGATGGAGAAATGATTTCATTCTGTGGCTTAGGCCCTGTGAAAACAGTAGTAAACAAGATTGACCTGGTCCCTGTCTCATGGGCCACAGAATTGGTGGGAGGATAGACCAAAAAAATAAAGGAGAGGGAGGGGGAGAGAGAAAGAGAGAGAATAATTGAGCACTAAGCATATGTCAAGCACTGTGTGAGGCATTTTTCATAAGTTATTTTATGTATTCCTTATCACAACCTCAGGAGGTCTACATTTTAATTTTTCCCATTTGATGAATGAGTTCATAGAGGCTCAGAGAAATTGTCACATGTTCAAGGTCACATCTCAAGTAGATTAGAGAGTTGGGGCTTATACTTAAATTTTTCTGATGTTCCATTCTACATTTTAAATTATTGCAAAATTTCAGGATGGAGAGAGATTGGGAGGGAGGGAGAGAGTCAAACAAACAGGCAGAGAAAAAAGAAGAGCTAGACATTGAGAATGAGTTCAAAAGTACATGAGACAGAGGAATAGAAACAAAGATTCTCTCTGAGACTATGTGACCACTTGGAGACCCTGTCCAGGCAGGAGGCAAATGAGGTCATTAAATCCATCTGCGCAGATGGGAGACTCTCTGGGGAAAGTTATATGCAAATGTCATGATGCAATGAGGTGAAATCTACTTGCGTAGTTCAGGCGGGGACTCAAGCAGGGACTGCGCTGTGCTCTTTGGAAAGATAGATTAGCTGCTGGATGGGGAAGACACTCACTCTGTTGGGCTCTTCCTATCAGTTTGCGGAAAGGAAAGCTGGCCAAGGTCACAGAGCACATAAAGAAATGATCTGGGAACTGGAATGAACTCAGTCCTCTCACTTTTTTGTATGCTGAAATCTGCTTCCCAGGTCCTTCAAATTTTGTGCAAAACTTCCATGTGATCTATTACCTACCCAGGATTCCAAGCCTCCCAGAAGGTGGTCTGGCTTCCTTAAGACATGCTTTTTGTTTTCATCATTGCCTACTAAAATCAAAGTGACCAATGTGTGCAGAGAGTTATGTTTTCTCAAAAGACACTTTCACATCCTTTCTTTCACTTGATCACGTATACATCAGGTATTCCATTACACAATTATACCAATCGACTTTGCTATGGTGCGCTACAATTTTCCACCCATGATTTTATTCAGCCCTTATAGTTTACAGTACAAAGTGGGTCTTAGTATATCAGCTATACAGAGGGACCTGAGGCTCAGAGATAAGTAGCTTGTCTTACTTTAAATACCAGATTTGACACTTATTATTACTTTTGGCAAATTCTTATTCCTTTCTGAGCTTCAGTTTCCTTATCAATAAAAGAGTGATTGCTGTAGCATCTGTCTTACAGAGTTGTTAAAAGTGTCTTCTTATCTGGAAAGCACTGAGTACATTGCCTTACCCCATAGAAAATGTTTGGCCTATAGAAAGTGCCTCTGCAAATGAAAACTGCTGTGATTATGATCTTGGTGCTCTCAATAAAAGTTATCACCAGGATAGCAAGAAGCAGAGCCATGACTTGAACTTGAACCTTCTGCCCCTCAGATCCAGTGGTTGCATCCTGCTCTGCACTGCCTTTCTGATCATTACTGCTTTGGACCAAACCCCCTGATTCACTTCTCTCTTTCTGCAGGTCACCCCATTCCCTATGTCCTGTGACCTACAAGGCGACTGTGCTTGTCGGGACCCCCATGCCCAAGAACACAGCCGGAAAGACCTCCGGGAATACAGCCATGGCTAAGGAAGGACAAGGAGTTGTCCAAGAATTCCCAACGCCAGGACCCGCATCCCTTTGGTATTGATTTCACAGTCAGCTGCTCAACGGAATGGCCTCTCCACACCAGGGATCCTTAGCACCCAACCGGTCTGCCTTTAATTTTACCCAGGAAGGACTCACAGTGGGGCAAATGAACCAAGTTTCACCATGCTGAATGATGAAATGGATTCCCATCCCGAAGTCTGAGATGGATTGCATATACAGTATGCAGTCCTAGAGCCTCCTAAAATTCTAGCCATTTGTCACACAACCACAGCAAGAAACATGTTCTATATCTAGAGTGTACCCATCTGTGGTTAGTACACATGCATGCATACACACCCATACAAACATATGTGTGAAGGCAGTTCTGGAGATGAGCAGAGAGAGACTGGAATAAATATCTTTTCTTTCCCAAGCTCCTAGCCAACACTATCCTTGGGAGAAAGAAAGTTGCAGAAACTGCTAAGACCAAGTGTGGAGATGTCAAGATAGCTCACACCCTGAGGCTCAGAATATAGTGGTCATGCACAATGGTGCAGTCCTCTGGAATTGGAAGTGAAATGGCCTATGATCACCTACCTTCTAGGGAACTAGAACCTAGGAAGTGGTAAAGATTATAAGGTATGCAAAGCCTCCACATACTTCTGTTGCCATGAGGGATTTTACCCCAACTCCAGAGTTTGAGGCCAATCTGAGAATGGCTTAGGATTGCAATGTCAAGGTATTATATCAGCACCTTGCTTGAGGCTTGAGGTCATAATATCCCTTTAGGACTTACCCGTTCTCCAAATCCTGCCTTGGGACCACATTTGCTGCTATTTTCCTGCTGCTCTATCCTATACATTGAATAATCCAAGATGGTAGAACTAGGTTAGGAAGAACTCCACACAACCAAACAGTCTGCCTTAAAAGCGACCCACAGTTGTCCACAGCTCCTCACTTTTTAGCTCTTCTGCAAGAGAAATCTTTCCTCATGGGTCCACATAGTGATAAGTTAAGTTTCCCGTAAGTGGGCCTCTCACCTGGAAAGGAGTTGAGGAACATCAGATGCTGGAACCCTCAGTGACAGTCCAGAGTGTCTAAGCCAGTGTTCGATTTTGTAAACAAGTGGAATGAGTGTTAAGTTTCTATGATGTTGGAGCCAGCCAGAGACTGTTGGAATCGTCAAGGCTCTTGGATTATTAACCCTATCCTAATCTTCCTAGCCCTTCAGGCTAGAGTAGGCTTTGATCCTGAGAACCTCACTGTTGCTCTCAGGAGATACAATTCTGGAAGAGAGAATCATCTTGTATAAGATCAGTATAGACTGTTCTTGAGAGGGCCATCAGAAGGAAACCGAAGAGTTCACAGCCTCAGTCCCAGCAACTCAACATGGTCATCATGTTTTCCATATGTTTTTTCCAGCTACCAGTACTCCCTTCCATACCTGTGACAGGGCAATGCTTTTCTCTCTCCCATGTCTAGCCTCCAAAAGTTAAGTGAAAATTAGTCAATTGCAGTGGAAGCCCCCCATCTCTTTGGGGGCCTCTTTGCTTCTTTTCAGTCAGGTACCTGTCCACTTCCTTTGAATTAATATGGGAAGAAATTAATACAGGACAAAGTGGAGAGAAGGGTTGAATGTGACATACTTTCTGAAACCTGGAGCTGGGAATTGAGAAGGGAAGGCCTAGACTAGTTATATCACATAAGGATGACTGTAAATCCAGTCATCTCAAGTCTAGTGAAGACAACCAACAAAAACAAAACCTACTGTAGGGATAGAAAATACCAGGCATGTGTGCAGCCCCTTCTAATTCCGGCATCCAAGGCAGGTGTTGTTATTCCATCATAGCCCTTTTTTAAAAAGTTGGGACCAAAAATAACTTGAGGAACCACTTTATATCACTCCCAATAGCACTTACCTGGAGGTCAAAAACACTTGAGAAGATATCTATTGGCCATCTCTGGCCTATCACATTAAGAAACATATCAAGATGCTTTTGGCACAGGTGCCCACAAATAAGGATGCAGTGCTTAGTTTATGAGACTTGTACCATATCACAAACTCTAAATTTGGGTTCCATATTGGCAAGGCTGCCACAGTAGTTGAGAATAATCATCTGTGTTTCTTTTTCACAAAACCATATCTCATTTATATCCAGAGCATTATTTCACTGTAATTATAAGGGCCAATTATTATCAAAAAATAAGAACAATGTTAGAAGAATCGATCCTATTTTGAACCCCTCTCCAGTATCTTTGTACTCTTGCCAACTCTCCAGACCTCTCTCTTGCCCTAGCTGAGTTATCAGCCTGTGTGGTGTTAACTTAGAAAGCACAAGCTAAGCAAGGTAACAGTATCAGCCCTCCCAGTTGCTTAATTATACCCATAGGTAATACAAAAAGCTTTGAAGACCCAAAGATGATGTTACTAATGATGTGATTTCAGCAACCACAAAATAACCTTACCAGCTTCCCTCAAATCAGTCCTTATCCTCTTTCTGTCTTCATTCCCATCATCATCTATTCCCATACTATCCAGCTAAGTAAACATTCCTGGAGGCTGACTTGTATCTTTAGCCTCACGAGTGAATTCAGCTCTTCTGAATCAAGATCCACTAAGTCTCTTTACTATCCTTCAAACCTGTTGCTAACAAATTTATATTTGCCAAGGATATTAGGCAAAAGAGGCTACTTGATTGGTGGCCAACTTGTGCCCACATGGAATATATCTTTAATAGGGCCTTTTCAAACCTTAGTGGAGGAGGGTCAGCTCAATTTGGGCAATGTATTTCTTCCCAGTTTCATATTCTTCCTGGGAATTAACTTGTCATTTCATTCCTCAGTCATCTTCCGTTTAGGTGACTGGAGCACTGAGAGGCAGCTCTGAAGAACTATTGGTATCAGCAGCTCAAAGGCCCTAAAACACTGAAGGTTCTGCATCTGAAGTATTAGATTGTTAGCAGCAAAAAAGAAAAGATAAGGTGGACAGTTCTCTAAGCTATATTTAGGGAAGCTTTTCCAAGCCACAATCCTAACTGCCTACCCAGAGGATTTGCATTACCCCCAGATTCTGTGCCAACAATTTTTTAAGGGAATACAGTCTTTAGGAAATCAGTTTTGATAGTGAATTGGGGTGTTAAGGAAGGGAAAGATTAACAGTCATAGATGGTAGGGCTTTGAAAATGTAGGTATCACCTGCCACTCCTGGCTTCAGCACATTGAGTCACTGCCTAGACAGTTCTCTTGGTCTTATTCCCACCTTGGCCAATGCTTAAATGCTATTTGTTGAAGCTAATTCTTTGAGACAGATTTCAGCTACCTCCCTTCCAGGTTTGATTTAACTTGGTTGTAACTGTCAATTTGTTATAGGTCTTACCTGTGTGAAGAAAGAAAGAAAAAAGAAAAAGGAAGGAAGGAAGGAAGGAGAGAAAGAAAGGGGAAAATAAAAGAAAGGAAGGAAGAAAGGAAGGAAATTATAAGGTTAACAGTTTTGAGGTTTTGTGATTTTTTTTTCTGGAACTACTTCAAGTGAGAAAATAAAGAAATGGTGACAGAACTGTACAGATAGAGATTAATAAAACACAAGGAGATTAAAAGGAAATAAAAATGCATGATTAAAAACTAAGAATAAAAAACCTATTTTTATGTTTCCTAAAGGAAATTGTTTATTCTACAGACTCAGTAGGTAGACGCAAACATAAGCATTTCCCTAGAAGACATAGAGTGGGATTTGATAACACTGTCTGTTATTTTCTGTACATTGTGGTAGGTCCAGGAAATATGTCATTTTCCCCCTTGATGTGTTATTGTTGTTGGGGGGTGGGTGGGCATTTTGTTTATTTGTTTGGTGGCAATCAATGGTAGTAGGGAGGGGGAGGGCTTGGTATTGGTTTTTCCAGATATTAAGGGGACATATTGTATCATGCTTTTCACATTATAAGATGTTTATATTTACCAGTACAACACTGAGCTTTATAAAGACTGCACTCAGAACCACATTGCACAGTCCAATTTTTTAAGAAGCTGCTACATGACGAGACAGGTAATCCTAGTGAGTTTTGAGAAACAAAACAAACCAAGTAAACAACAAACATAAAAACCAAATAGCAAATGAATAAAAGCCTGTTGTTGTAATTTATTCAACTTTTGCCAAATCCCTACCAATCACTTGCTTTTTAAAAAGAAATGTATAACAGCCAAAAGAGAAATTATGTCCCTATTGTAAAGAACTTAGAATTTCTGACTCCAGGCAGCAGTTTGCTCAGTGATATTGAACAAGTTATCCAGTCACCTCTATACTTGCATCAGTTTCTCTAGCTGCAAAATGGGGATAATACTATATACCTACCTCACAGTGGGAGGGCAGGAGATTTTGAGGCCCTGCAGTTTTAGGTGGGCTGTGAGGGCCAACATTTGACACAAAGTCCTGGGTTATGATTCACGAATGCACAGGCCCATTGGCCTTTTCAGAAAGATAGCGAGTGCTTGTTTGATATTTCAAGGAATAAAGCTGGAGCTCCTGAATTGTAGTCTGCCTTAAAAGAGAGATCTGTATTGGAGAATATTTTATCTTTTAGGCAAATTTGATCTTACCCTTTACCAATTCTATGATTTGGTTAAAAGCTAATTACCTCCTATAATGTCAGTTAGCTAACCGTTGTCTATTTAAGACTTCCGGGTCATTTTCAACTTATAGAGGAAGGGAGTCTCTAAAATCTCTTCTTCAGAGGACACCTCACTTCTCAGACTTAAAATTCCACATCAAGTGTTCCATTAAAAGAAGATATGGCATTCTGAGTGCAAATAAATGGGGGCTCCTTAAACTACACACCAGCAGTCAATGAGGAAAATTCTGAACAATTACTGAGTTGCTTTCTTGGGTCTCTATAATCAATAACCTGTCTGCAGATATCTATCTATATAACTATATTATATATAAATATAAATTTACATATATATGCACATGTATATATAGTTGTACATATATGTGTGTATATATATACTTAAATGTAATATTTACAAAATAAAACTGTGATCTCGTCTAGAGAAAATGTATTCATATTACAGAAGGCTCTTCCATATTTATGTATCATATAATACCTTTTTATTATTGTTATAATTATTATGGGTATTTCTAATTAATATGATGTTGAAATCTTTGGCATCTTCTGGAAGCTACCAAAAAATGACACTCCATTGAAGTGCTTAAAAGCTGTTCTCATAAGAATTCTACTGGCCTATTGTAAAAGAAAAAAGACACAACCCAATCTAAACACCAAAAATTAAACACAAGTCCAATCCTTTCTCTGTACCTCACGCGCATAAATTTGCTGCTCCTATTTTTTTTTTTTTTCTTTTTATGTGTTTTTATGGATCTAAGTTAACTCTTTCGGCAATACATAAAAATGTAAATAGTAAACTTTATTTATTAAGAATGTCATCTTTTTTAATTTATATTTACACATTGTTCATCTAATTTATTTTTTCTATACAGTTTTAAATACTCAGACATATTTTGCTGTTCATATTTTTATCCTGTTCTCATGGATTTGTTTTTCCATACTGTTTTCTCTGATCTCAGTTACAGGTTGGATCTTACAAATAATAATGTCAGAGACAGAAATATTTTGCCACTGTTGATTATTATACTTTTAAGTTCTATATTATGAAAATATATAATAGCTTGTATGCTTCAGTGTGGTGTTGTGTGGTTTTTGTCTGTTGCGAAATGCTAAAGGGCTACCATATGTACACACTAGCATGGAGAGAGCCCTGGGGCCTGGAAATAGAATCAAGGATAGCGCGAGATTTTAGCCAATATACATCCATTCCTCCACAAAATTAATTCCTGAAAGTATCTACATTTTGCACATGCAAAAACTGAAAAACTTCTTTACATGTTACAATAAAGTTCTGGGGACCTAAGGCATATGTCACTCTTGGTTATACATTGCCTTTTACACACTGCCTTTAATAATATACTCCCAGATGTAAACCCTGGTATAGTCCAAAGACACAAACCCATGCAGTGGTTCCCAAGTGCTAAGCTATGGATCAGAGCTGATCCATAACTAAGTTTTCATTTGTCTAAGGCAGAATGTGGGGTCAATTGTTCATTCTTGTGGAGTTCTACCTTTTATGATTAACTCTTTCTTACTCTTCTGCTATTAAAATGTTCTTTATAAAATGAAATATAAAAATGAGCCTATATATGTGTATGTGTATATATACATACACACACACACACACACACACACACATACAAACACACATATATAATTTTATATATGTGAAAAAGAACCTGCAGTTGAAACTGAAATGTTGCTGCTGTCAATCTATCTCGTGGATCTCATTGTTCATCTTATCACCAGGTAGTAGCTATGTGATCTTTGGAAAATTATTTAATGGCTTTAAGGTTTAGTTTTCTCATATGTGATACAGAAATAATAAAAGTATCTCATAAGGTTTCTGCTAGAATTAAATGAGGTAAATATGTGAAGTGTCAGTGCTGGATACATTATGTTACCTCTTGCTAAGAGTAGTATGAGAACAGGATTACTTATGACAAGTAATAATACACTAATTTTTCTGATATCTACTTATTTTATAAGATAATAAAAACAAAGTACATAAATCATTCAAGGGCTTGCATAGGCGTTTTATGAAGTAAATTTATTGGCACTGTCCACTGAACTGCTGGCTGACAGTATCACCATGAGGCAGGTCAAAATATGTGTTTATCTGCTGATAACTAAATTTTGAATTTTTCACAAAAAGGCTGAAAAGGCTGTGTGGGAACATCAATGTGAATTATATATAAGGGCAGGGATAGGGAAGTCAGAACTACTTATAGGAGGTTGTTTTGTTTTTCTTTTTTTGGACTCTAAAAATATAAATCATAGAGAAACATGAGGGAGACGACTGAAAAAGAAAAAAAGTCATTGCTAAGTTCTTACAGATAACTGGTTATTTTAAAAGTAATTTAAAAGTAAAATAATTGACAAAAGAAAAATGTCTCACACTGTTTTATCAATTCAATGTGAAGACTGAAACAACATTTAGGCAATAGGCTCCTGAAAAGAGGCAAATATTTCTCAAACAGAAAGAGTAAACGATGAGAGTTTAAATGTGGCTTTTTGTATTCCTTGGTTTTGTCTGAAGAGACAGAAAGTCATGGGGCAAAGAGCTTCCTACTGCAAGATAAAAGAACACACACACACACGCACACACACACACACACACACAGAGTAATGGAGAGTTCATTGGACTTTATTACTTATCTGTCAAATGGAAAATTATTTCTCACTTCAAAGCAGACAGAAATATTCAGCACTTTGATTCATTTATATTTATAATGCAAGTTTTAGAGTTTGTCTAAATAAAACAAATAATAATAATAACATTTAAGTTTAAAAAATGTGGTGCATTCTATTATGCTGCACTGGCATTAGTAAATCTCTTCAGTTCTTAACCTTTAACACCAGAAATAAAAAGCCTGGACAAAAGCACAGCCCCTCTAATCTTCAGCTGATGAAAACCCTTGCTTCTTTGAGAAAATTTCTTAACTCTAAAAGAATGATGTTTGAGGTGAGAAACAGCAGTGCTGTACAGAAGCATGGGTTAGCAATGGGGGAAACCAAATTCAAGTACCATCTGCCCTGTGACTTTGGGCAAGTCACTGTCCTTTTTCAGAGACAGAAGGAATTGGCAATGATAAAAAACAGGTGGTGTGTTTAAGCAAATGGGACCAGCAGGTGCATCATTGTGAGAAAAGCATGAAAGAACTGAAAAAAAAAAGGCCGATGTGTTTACACAGTAGAAAGGTTAACAGTGGCCCAACTAGAGGATGAAGAAGTCACCAAGAGCCATACAAAGGATTTTGGGCTGTATCTTAACAGCAATGTGGAGCTGCTGAACAATATTTAGAGATTTACATGGTCAGATTTTTGGTTGAGAAAGGTCTCTCGGATGGCAGTGTGAAGGAGTTGACTAATTGACTAATTTTAGATGTGTGTTTTTTCTTTTTTTTTTTAATTAATAGACTTATTTTTTAAATAAGTTTTTAGTTTATAGAAAAACTGAGCAGGAAGTAAAGTACACATTAGATTTCAGTTTTAAACAATAAAATATTGGAACAGGAAAATCTAGCTATTTTCTAGGACCAGCTGTCAGGAAAATATAGAAACCTAAGACAATGTGATCAGGTTTGTAGGTTTGGAAATTCTTGATAACTCCTCAGTGATTTTGTCGTAACGTCTCAAGATGAGAGAGGAAGGCTTTGGGAAGGGATCAGAATGGAATTAGGTAACATCTGGGATCATAGCCTCTTACATCTGTGTTACCTTGTGGTGCTGGTAATGTTCTGTTTCTTGATTTGGGTGCTGCTTACACAAGTCTGTTCAGCTTATAAAAATTTATCGAGCACTTAAAAGTTCATGTACTTTTCTGTATGTATATCTCAATATAAAGATGTTTTAGAAGAGCCATCAGCAAAATTTTTCCACAGAAAGGAGAAATTTTTCCAGAGCAACTGGAGGAAGGAGAACAAGACACCATTTAAGTTTAGCCACAAAAGTTACCCACTTTAATTGGCATTATAGGGCCACAAAAATTGGCCCTATAATACTTTTTGTGCTATAAAACTGGTATAAAGGGGAAATGGCAAAGGGGAAAGTTTAGCAAAGATTCCTTAAAATACAACACTTTTATACTACAAAAGGTAGAGCAGGAAAGCAATGTGTGTCGACACTGCAGACGTATGAGTAGGCAGCAGTCCTAGTTTCCAGTTCTGCTATTCTGCCTTATAGTCCTGTGATCAGTGACAAAGTTTAAGCCTCATGACTCTTCATCTGGGCAATGGGGATAATGACTGTCAAGATGAAGATGAGATGAGCTGTCTGGGCCTGTTGCTAACTGAGCGCCATGATGGAACGCTAAGAGATGCTATGGAGAAGCAGGTGAAACGGCAGCCAAAAAAATGGAGTTTATCCCCTGGGAAACCCCATCCTACCCCAAACAGAGCTAGACTGGTCTTTAATTTGCTTTAACCAAAGATATTCCACGTACTGACAATGAACCCCTGCCACCATATATCCATTTTTGTTTATTGAGATGGAGTCTCGCTCTGGCAACTAGGCTAGAGTGCAGTGGCAAAATCTTGGCTAACTACAACCTCTGTCTCCCAGGTTCAAGGAATTCTACCTCAGCCTCTCGAGTAGCTGGGATTACAGGGGCCAGCCACCATGCCTGGCTAATTTTTGTACTTTTAGTAGAGATAAGGTTTCACCATGTTGGCAAGGTTGGTCTCAAACTCCTGACCTTCAGTGATCTGCCTGCCTCAGCCTCCCAAAGTGTTGGAATTACAGCCATGAGCCACCACGCCCAGCCCATATATCCAATTTTGATATCTACCTTCTCCTTTGCTGGGTTTGATATCCTTGAGGGGCTGGCTCAAATGTAATTGAATCAGTCAAACATTCTCAAAAGTTGGGGTCAAATAATCCATTCTTTAAGTGCAAAATTTATTTGAAACGCCAAGTCAAAGAGCTTCTCTAATCAAAAAGGGGATAGGGTAGCCCAATTCCTAGTAGCTCAACTCTATTTTCTTCAGAGCTTTGGGGTTCCAAAGAGCGTGATGTAAAAGCAATGGGTCTAATCTACTCTGTTTTATAGATGAGGAAATTAACAGAGGTTTCATTCTGAATTTGAACTTGCCACTTGCCCAGAAACCCTGAGTAGAAAAAAGAGTGGCATCCCTGACTAACTTGCCCCTGCTGCTACCTGGTATCTGGGCTCTCCCCACAGGGGTCTTAATGGAAGGCAGAGATCTGTGGAGTCTTGGGAACCTGGGCTCTACACCTAGAGACAAAATAAGGGGATTTGAAGGCAGTGAAAGACCACAGTTTCTGAGATGTTCTGTTTTCCTTCTAGTTGACATGCAGCCAAGCCATAGACTACCCTGAGAGTGGGGAGTCAATTATCTTCATAATCTTCTGAGGCTGGACCATTCACATTCCAGCCCGGGCTACATGCTTAGCTGAATGTTTTTATTGTCCACTTTAATCTTTGGCACTCCAAACAGAATTTTTCCCAGAAGCTGTAGAGATGGTGACCAAGTCTCTTAGACAACGTCTGGGTGTCGGCTTGTTAACATCATATTACAAATAGTTCCTTCCATATAGACACCACTTTATACAACACAAAATACATTTGTTAACTTACGAAAGTATTCATTTTCTCAAGTATTTTTGAACGATTGTTTATTGAGTATTATTATGCACAATGCATTGGACTAAACACTGACAAGAGTGGTGGCCAAGATAGACATCCACAACCATTCTCCTCACAGAGTTTACCATCCAAATATTCCAAGCACAAAGACAAGCAACTAGCTCACTGGAGTGCAATGTGTGAGGTGTTGTAAATAAGGAAAGCCACTGCAGAATAAAATGGCCAACATTGCAGGCAGAGGAAACAGCATGTACAAAGGCCAAGAGGGTGAATTAGGGCATGACTTGTTTGGGGAATGGTAAGTGTTCAGGCTGCTGCAATCTCAATTTGGAAGAAGGAGAACTGAGAAACAACACTGGGGAAGAAAGATGCCAGGTGATGTCAGAGAGTTAGAAAGAGACCAGTTGCCAAGAGCTTTGTAAATGCATGCCTTGGTTTGGGTTCCTTCAGAAGCCAGCAGTATTA